TTAAGGGGTTAATATTAGAAAGCACTGACAAGTCATGCGCTGAAGTGGTCGTGGGCCTTTCGGATGAGAGCAAGAACCCTGATCTTCTCAAGGCACTGAAGTGCTGATGAGAGGAGTAAGTGTCCTTACATGTCATTAATGTGAAAAGCAAAGTGTATTTAAGCTGAACTTGCAGTGGCCTTACCATGACAAGTTTATAGCCCCTTAGAGATTAATAGCCCGGCTGCCAAAAGTGCCTCCCTGCCTGCACTGTGGTGCGTCACAAGAGACACAGCTGGTTTTTTATTTAAGCTGTGAGAATACTTCTTCTCCCTGTCTCTATTAGCTTTCCACTGAATCACGCAATTAGATCACTTTTCATTCGCCGAGGAAGGGTAGGTTGTAATGTAAGGTTTTCTTTCCTCCTTTCTAATGAAGAGTAAGTGAATTAGTAAATAGGTATTTGTACACATTGGGAACGGCTAGCTAAACGACCCCCAGGAATAAGCCACTTTGGAATACAGATTGCTTAGCTCATCTATATTTTCAAGTTGCTGATCAAAATTTGTAGTATGGCATTCAGCTTCAGTTATGTGGTTCTGTTTTCTTTATATAATGGTATTGACCAACTGCCAAAGCATTCTTGAAAAAACACTGATAAATAAATAAACATACATTTATCTTTCTGGGTCATGCCTGGTGCTATATGCAATAATGGTAATAGGTGAAAAATCACTTATTTTGAATTTCTTTTCTTACCAGTGAAAGGACTGCTTAAATCTCACCTGTTTTTAGTACTAATCCTCATAGCTAATGTGTGAGATGGGCCTAACTGATAAATTATAAATCTGGCTCTTGTCAATTACTGAGCAATCCAGGAAAACTTATTTATGCTCTTTGGCTACACATTTTCTCTATGTGCAAAGAGAAGATATCAAGTATAATGAATCTACTTTGCAAGAGTTTTAAGATATACAGCATTTAAAACAAAACCAACACTTTCCCAAAGCCAAAGTGCTATATAAATGTTTAATTATGTTAGTACTGATTAAAATGCCCAGTAGAGATACATTAGTCTTGCTTTGGACATTTTATTCTCCCTTATTTTGCAAGAAGTTCCAGATAAACACATTGCTCTTGTTTAAACATTTATATAAATAAATGCCTTGGCACTGCTATTTTTGATTCATGTCTGAATAGGCTAGGGCCTAGGCACTTGTGATTAAGTCTAATTCTCCACAAAAATACCTTGCATCTTACATTGCAGTGGTTCTTTAGTGATACCCGTTCCCTTTCAGGATTATTTCAGGATAGTTATTGATGTTTTAGGGAAGTTGCGGCCAGCTGTTTTGTTTTATGCCTATCATACTTTTTTCATAAACTAACCAACTAACAAGGTGTGAATGGTTTACCAGGACATGGTACCCATAAGGAGCGGAGAGCTTTAGCAGTGTTGGACCCTTCAGTCTTGGCTGACAGAGGGGGCGTTTCTGCTATAGAGGACGTGGGGTCCCCAGTGTTTGCAGCTTGAGGCCTGGGCAGGTCTGGGTTTACCAAGAGAAGTGAAATGGATCTGCCTGGTCTATAGCATCTACACAAAGAAGACCTTGTCCTCATGGTTCTCCGACTAGATTACTTTTATAAGCTAAGAAAACCAGAAAAGACCATTGGAAATGAAATGTTTGTTTTAACTGACAATTTATCAAACACTTTGGACCTGATAGCCGCTAACATGGTAAACTGATGTTTATTTTCAAATGACTGCTTTTGATTATTGATTCTCTTGTTCCTTGTCACCTGTATTTTAATTCCCTCTCCCTGGCACACTGTCTCCTAGCAACGGCCAGGCCTCCACCTGAGGAGCTAAGAGGACAGAATGAGCAATATCCGCTCTTCTCACTGCTCCTCCTCATTCTTAGGCTTGAGCTTCCTCAGGTTTGAGACAAGGCAAGAAGGTGCTGCTGTCGCGGGTCCTTGACTTTCTAGTTCATCTGAGAAGTGAGTTTCCAGATGTAGACTTTGTACGCGTCAAATGCGTGTTCTTCTCTACTTTGACTCCCTCATGCATGCTCCACCTGCATGAACTGCAGAGCGGCCTGAGCTACTGCACTGCAGATGGCCCTCTTGGGTCTTGTCAGGACAACTGGAGGCTGAGCTGCACTGACAGGGCCTTTGGCTCCTGGGGAATATGATGCATTTGTCCTCCCAGGGCTGGAAATCTCTCAGCTGAATCACGACCGATTCTGCTCTATAGTTTGTTATTCTGCTCAAATACAGAAGCCGGTGCATGAGTCTACTCCGTGTGTGTGCAATGGAGTAAGAGGCCAGTTTCCTGGTGCCTCTAGTTAGCTTTCTCTTGGAGTTATCACTGCATGGACTGAGGAAATGGACTCTATGCATACATTCCTCATTCCTCATTCCCACTTCGCAGGTCAGCCCTTGAGCCATCCTTTCTGCTTCATGGGCTCTGCCCTCAGCCTGCGTAAGTCCTACAGACATCACTGGAGGCCTTCTTCACACTGTGAAAGCACTTTGTTATCAAGTGTTCTTTTCCGAGTTGGGATTTTAGTAGCCTCATTCCAGAAATAAAGGAAAAATGCTCCTTAGTATTTTGCCGTTCATTTGAGAGACCAAAAGGAGCCCGTAAGTGACGCTATTTTTCTCTGTAATCTAAGGGCAAAGTATTGTTTGTCCCTGCACCAGCTTTTCAAGTTGAGAGCAGCTCTTGAGGAACCCAGACTGCCCTTGACAATTCTACCGGCACACCTCTCTGATCTGCACTTTGCCCTGGGCTTTGCACAGCAAAGAGGGCGCACCAGGGTGCCGTGGGGGACAGGCACCGCGTCAGGAAGACAGGACTTGGCCGGCAGGATGCGTAGCTTTGTGAGGTTTCCACTGTCCTCAGCCGGGAAGTTTTTGTTCACGGTTGTCTGAAAACTACCAGACAGCCCCTCTGAATAATGCAGATGAGACATGTCTCCTTCCCGTCAATTCTGGGAGACAGAAGAGCGTCTTACGTTTCCTGCGTAGGGTATATGCAGTGGCAGCAAACCAAGGCACACAAGCCACAGCTCGCTGTTGTCACTGAAAGCTCCGAGAGGTTCGCCATCGCGGATCTATAGTAATGACAGCTGAAACTGATGGAGCATATGTTCAATACCAGGCACTGCTCTACTAACTCACTGGGTCCTTTTACTGACCTTAGATACAGCTGCTCTCCTGTTTTACACAAGAGGCAACTAAAGCACAGAAAGGACAGAACACTTTCCTAAGGTCACACAGCTGGGAAATGGCCAAGGCAGAAATTGCCATTTGCTGCTCAAAGCCTCAGCTCACTTACTGGGGACTTTTTATTGTGTAGTTGTGCAGGGTTCTACAGTAGAGGCAGCTGAGATATGGGAGGAAAAGGGGTTTTTTAAAAAAGGAGTTAAGATGTGATATGTTCATGTACTGACTCCACAGAAAGAATGTAAACATGTACTGATAAGAAAGTAAAACAAAGCCAAACCCGCCAAAGTGGATGGGCTTCCTCTGCAAAGGCAGGAGGCCAGGGTTACACGGTGCTGTGTGTGACTTAGAGATGCCGTCCTCAGCTAAACGGGTAGGAAGACAGCCAATGTCCAACAGACACTGGAGCGGCAATGAGAAAGATCCTGCCAGGAAGGAAAGGGGTACGTGCTAGCAGGGCGAGCAGGAACAGACACGGGGAGATCTGGACAACTGAGAGCTGAAAGAGCAGCTGGTGCGGGCAAGAAGGGTAAGAGTGCGCAGGCGCGGATCCCTCTCCGGAGGGCCTCCGGGCTCCGCAAGGGGTAATGCTGACCTCGAGTTTCACAAACTCCACTTGCCTTTCTTCTAGAGCTGCAGGGGTTAACTGCAGGCCATTTAAAATTCCAGGGGACCCACAATTCAGAGCCCAAAGAGATCCGGTGGGAGGGATGAAAATTTAGCAAAAACGTGCAGCTAATTAAGAGTCATTTCCCCGTTTCTCTCTAAAACCTCAAGAAAAGGACATAAAGGAAAGCAGGACGATTACATTTCCTTTCAGCCCGCTGCTGACTGTCACTCGGCGTGGCCTGGAGGAGCACCCTAATCCCTCTGCGGCCAAAGGTCTCAGCTCATGTCCACGGTTACTGTCTTGCTGACCATGGGGAAGCGGCTCCTCCTCCACAGCGGGGTGGCTGGCCTGTCCTGACTGCCCAATCTCTCTGCTCCCCAGGCCGCCCTACCCCTCGCCTTTGCCTAGGTATCCGTCCTTAGTCATGTGCATGGTTCCTAGTGGGGAAGCTTTGTGTCTCTGAATTTCTGAACAGTAAATAAAACCTGTTCCTCCTTTAAGGCTGACAAATGCTACCCAGCCTGTGACTTCTCAGATGATTCAACACTACGTTCCTTACACGTATTAAGGATCCAATGAGTTCTTAGGCATTTACCGTAGCATGGAATAGCAGTGTAATATGGGGACCTACCACACTTTTATTGTATTGGAGTTACTTGCTTATGAAAATGCCCCCTTTTTCCTTGTGTGTGCTTCAAGGGAATAATTACTATTGCTACGCATGGGACTTTACATGTCCCAATTAATTTTACAACACTATGTTTTTGATATACAAGATTGTTAATATTTTAAAAATCTGTTTTGTCTCTAGTATATACCGGCCAGTACCCGACGATTAGAAAAACTAAGTTTTAAGAACAGGTACCACTGCTGACCTAGTATTTACTAGTCATCTAGTATATCATCAAAGACCTTCAGACTTTTCTGGGAATGGTATTAATAGTATGGTATTACAGCATCGAAGTACTCTGAAAGGTATTTTTGTTCATTTGAAAAATAAAGTACCAACTCTGCATTTTGTTAACATTCATTTTATAAAATGAACCTTGAAAGAACAGAAAAATATTTGAGGTTACATAATAACCAGAATTGAAAAAGGATAAAATATAAATTAATTGAACACACAACTATTTTGCCACTTTAGACACATTTTTAAAAGGCATTAAAAACAATACAATAGTAACTGGAAAGGAAAGCCTTTGCTCTATTGCTGTCTTTTTCTGGAAACTTCCTAGAAGCACTAAAATCCCAGGTTAACAGGCAGTACCTGTATTATTTAAAATGTACTGTACTTTGCTTCCAGATCTGTCATTTTAAGAAAGGTATGTTTGAACCAGATTACTCAGTGCAAATTAAAACTTCAAGTTGATAATGTGAGAAGAAAAGTCATGTACAAGAAATGCTTCTGGAACTGAACAATCAAGAAAATTCACATTATAAAGAAACTTTTGGGAATCGTTCCTGGTGTGTGACATACTGAGTTAGCAAGTGGGCCCTCTGAGCTTGCAATCAGGGCTTTATTTCAAAGTCTGTTTGCAGTGTGCGCAAGGGGAAATGGGTCAGATCTGCGCAAGTTCAAGTTAAGCATCAATGCCTTCATTTTATTCTAGGAAATTTGGCTATAGTGCATCAACTATCAAAGGGAAAACAAGAGACTGGAGATAAACTTACTGAAATGTTAATGAAGACAAACCCTCTCACCCCTAGAACATATTTGGTGACGAGGGTTCATATTGGCCATCATTTCATCTTACAGATATTAAATACTGGTTTTAGTATCTGTAAATGTATTGCATTAGCAAATTTTGAGAAATGGGAGGAATGTTTAACTTTCTAGATCACAGTGAAACTACGTCTGGATCACCTTCAAGCACTAATAGGTAGTTACTTTTATAATGAAAAAATATTTTTGTTTAAATATTTCTTTAAAAATATTCTGAGTGATGTCACAGGCAATAGGTAGCTAGGAGTCTTCATGGCAGTGTTTGAGGGAAAGAGTCCTTTCCATTCTCTTCTGTATGACTCTGTGATTCAGTATGGTTGAAGACAAAATGAATGATCGCTACTGAGTACAAGGTGCAGAGCTTGTGTGGGGGCGGGGAAAGGGTTTGCCCTGAACTTCCGGTCCAAATGTACAGCGCTGTCTTTTCTCTTTCACTTTGCACTGAAAATTTTAATGTGTTATTTGAAAACTGAATGGGAATATGCTATGCTTCCTGATGTTCTTCTCCGACATCATGCCCTCATCTATTAAGAACGTTATGGCAATATTATCACAACGAAGTGGCAACTTTGGGGTCTCAGACTGTACCTACCCTCACCAACACACAACAAAGCCAATGTGACATCGACAATAAATGAAAAGTCATGATGACACAACTTGGAGTTCAGAAAGCAAAAAAAATTATCCAATGCATTTTCAATGTATAAAGACTGTACTCATACCTACTCACAGGAAGAATATATAAGGCAAATTAAAAATTCCCCTCAGGGACAAAACTAGCTCAAAATCACAAGAAATTTATTTAAGTGCAAAAACTGTCCAAGGCTTGCACAAATCCTCAAGTATCCTCTCTTGCCATGAGAGCCAGACTGTGAGAACAGGCACATGGCACTTTGCAAGGAAACGCTCTCGTTCCCCTCCCTGGGTCAACACAGCCTGCATATTAAATTAACCAGATCCATCCGATGTGACCTGTTGTCCTCCTGAGTCCTGACCTCAAACTAATACATTTTTTTTTACATCACACTGGGTGCGAAGAGTGGCAGAAACATGCACAAACCCACAATGAGTCCATGTTTAGAAAATGTTCCGCCGGTTCAAGCATTTTACAGAGTTTTGTCTCATTTCTCCACTAACTTCTCATTAGGAATGAAAAAGACCACGTATCTGGAAAATTCGAAGGCTCTGGTGCAAAACCTCTAGGTTTTGTCCACCAGACTTTTGCCATCAAAATGCATCTTAAAAACTAATAAAACATCATGCTGGAATCGGATTGTGAGAGTTTGTGCTTAAAAACACAGCACCTAACAGCGCCACATACACCGCAGATGCATAATTCATATGTGTAGATGTATTCAAAGTAGTAGCACAATTGCTGAGGAACCAACCGCAGTTCTGCAAAAAAGGCAAAGCTATTTATTACTCTCACCTGGCTGGAGGGTGCAATATGGACTGATGAATCTACAAATTACATACGAACCCTAATTTGATTGGAGAGAAAATTACTAAGAACTTCGCAAAAAAACCCCACAAAAAAACAAAAAACCAAAACAAGACACAACCGCCACAGTAGCATCGGCACCTAACAGCGCGTTAAAGACTTCGCGTCTCCGCTGCAGCGGAGGTGGCTCCCACAGCTGCTCGGAGCCGCGGTAACGTCCCCCAACGGGAGAAGATCTCCGCTGGACTCTGGAGAAGGCGCAGCGGATGCGGGATTGAGCAGAAGTGTATTCCTGTATTTCGGGAAGGCGGCCCTCTCACCCAGCATGCCCAAAATAACGCAGGTGTAAACGCCTGAGGGCCTCACAGACGATTTCATCATGGCACGTTCTGGGCAAGTGAGTCTGGTATCTGCAGTAGTTGCTTTCTAGTATTTTAGATTTGTGCAGTGCGATGGTGCCCCTGGGCTGACAGAGGTGGACAATATGGAAAATTACAGGTTATAAAACTTCAACTAACAAGGCAAGCTCCTCTATATTAGGTAAAAACCCCTTATAAAAGGCAGTTTATTAACAAATAAATGTTTGGTACATTCAGGTTTTTCCTCATCTCAAAAGTGATGGTTTCCAAGAAAAGACTCAGTAGTGAAGACCGCGCACGCAGTTTTTTGCATCAGTTTGATATGTTGAAAGTCAGAACCTTTAAAGCATTTCGTAAATGGTAGAAATGGACGCGGACCTGGGGCCGGGGAAGGACGCAGAGGGTGGAGACCACACGAAGAGGTGATTCTGCTGCTGACGTGGCAGCAAAGAGGTTCCGGTTATGAGAAATGTTACAGCAGACCGGAGCACTCTGCGAAGGCTGTGGGAACACGGTACAGGTATCAAAGACAAAACCGCGACTTTGCCGACTTGTAAACAAGGAAAAGCGTTTCACAGACTCAATGTTCAAGGGAAGTAAACGTGTTTAAATTATTTTTGTCAGTTCAACCCTGATTTAAAAGTATGGCTAGCGACGGGCCGCGGCGGCGGCGTCCCGGCACGCAGCGCTCTCCAGGAGCTGGCTCCAGCCTCCCTTCTCAGGACGCCCGTGAGGCGGAGGCCTCCTCCGAACCCACCTCGGCCTCTCCCTCCGGCCTCGGGGAAGAGCTGTCCACTGCTCTGCGTTTTGGTGTTGAGAGTTCTGGCTGCTATAGATTCAGACGCGGGGAGATGGGAGGAGGGATGGCAAATTCTCGCAGGATGCTGCGGGCCACTTCCACGTTATTCTGGGCTATCTCCAGGGCTCTCTTCACCTCTTCAAAGGCGTACCCCTCTCCCATGAGTTTTGCAATCTTTGCATCGACATTTTCCAACGCTGCCTCAGGCCCGTGGGGCTTTCTGTGGTGAATTTCGGGCGCAGTCCTGCGGGGTCTTGGTTTGGGAGGTCTGGCTGGTGCTTGTGAACCATCTGCGGAGATTCCACAGGACAGATACCATTGAGACAGATAAAAATGAAGACACTACAACAAAGTAGTTTCATCTCATCATCTTATGCTAAAATACTATTTTTCACTGTCTTTACAAATAAACTCATCCACGTTTCCGCAGAACAGTATTATTTCTGTTTTGAAAATTAAAGTTACGGTAGAATGTTTCAGTACGTCAAATGGGAAATTAACAGATTTAATTACTAATTCCATGTTTTACTCTTTAAGACATATGACATAAGGAAGACAGAGAAAAAGCCCGAAAGCACTCTCTAGACAAGGCTTTGCTTTTGCAGGTGGACCCTGCACCCTTCTCTGTGTGGCACGGGCTACAGTTCTGCGAGATCTTTATTAGAAGAAACTCCATATTCTCAGATATTCACAGCAGGACATCCTCAAAATGTCCTATATTGTGCTAATGTAACAGCATAACTGCTCCACGGAATGGGCTTCCTAGGGTGTCTTCCTGTCTTACTTGTGAAGTTAATAATACTGCATCTTACTGATGGTATATAGTAAGAAACTAGACAGAAAACAGTGTGTGATCTGACATGTCAGTCAGGAGGACGGACAGAAGTGTACGGCGTCCTCTGCCCGAACACTTCGGGTTCCAGGGTAGCAGTGTCGCATGACATAAAGCAAACCCAGGAGAAGCAGCGGGAGTGGAGAACTGAGTTCTAGATCTGAGGATGATATTTCTTAAAGCAAAACCAATGCCTCTGTTACCCAGTACTCTTAAGACAATTAACCGTCCTTACGTTGGATTGGGCAACTAGCCAGGTTATCTTTGTCCATATAACCATACCTGTGCACAGTATTTTGAAAGCCTAGATTAAAAAAGAAAACTTTAAAGAATGTCAAATTCATGCCAGGAAACACATGTATAGCCTGAAGACTATGCAGACATCAGTACTGGTCGAACGGCTTTCTTCATAACCCCGGCCAAAGGTGAGAGGATAACCCTGCAGCCATGTTTAAGGGGAAAGGGCAGCCGCAGACCATCCACATGTCAGGTCCCCACTCTCATCCTGCTTCCGGCTGCCTGGCTGACTCTTCGGGCTTCAGGAGCTATTGTCAACTTACATTTTCAATAATAATAAAATTCAAATCCCCAGAATTTAATTTCATATTTTCTTTTTAAACGAACAGTAAAATACTTTTCTGTGAGCAGGTAACTTGTAAAAAATATCATCCCATTCACAATTTTGGCGATAGAAATGATCATGCAGCATATGAAAGCATCCAGGATGAAAATGTTTCTTCCCGCATCCAATCCAATGATAATCATAGTCTTATTTCAAAACTCTGTTTTAATAGGATAATGCCCAGTTTTAAACAAATTATACCTGTACATAATGTACACTGAACTATATACATATACAAGGACATGCGATTTCTGGGTCTTCCTAAAATTCATACTATTTTTTGTACCTGTAATTAAACATTTGAAATTATTATGGTGTACAAAATTGCACTTTTAGTCTGAGATTCTGTTTTCACATGGCATACTTTCACTATGCAGAGACGAGGATAAATTATACTTTGCTTCAAATAATTTGCAAAAACTATTAGCAATCCTACCAAGTTTTTCTTTAATCAATTACTATGAAATGCATACATTTAAATAATCTGTCAAGGTACCTTTTTTTATTCTTTTATTTTTATTTTTAGTTAAAAGTACAGAGACCAAATGCAAATTTAAATATCTACTAATACTTTTGTAATGTTTTCTAATGTTGTTATTTTGTTTTGGTACAAAATACTGAGAAAGGCATGTGAATGTTACATTTGAAAAGGATACCTATGTGTTCAAGTACAGTAAGGAGGTGACTATGACCTCCAGGGCCGTATCTATTAGTACAACTGGTATACTAGCTTCCTTGTTACTGAGACACAATACCCAACGTTCATAACTTAAAGGAAGAGAGGTTTGATTTCCTAATGGTTTCAGTTCACGACTGGCTGGCTCCAAGGCAAAGACATCACCGTGGAAGAGCAGGTGAGGCAAAGCTGGTAAGTTAGTGAGGACCAGGAGGCAGAGCAGGGAAAGAATGCCAGAGAGGACCAGATGGGCTAGGGACCGGAACAGTAAGGTAGGTTACACCTTGAGGAACCACTCAGATACTCCTGGAACTGTGCTCCACCCAGGCCTGACATAGATCCCAAAGCCAGTCATGAAGAAACTCCTCGTTACCAGCCACAACTAGTAATTACTACTAAAGAATTAGAACTTTTAGGGGCCTGGGGATTTAGCTCAGCGACAAAGTGCCTGCTTGGCAAGCGCAAGGTAGTGAGTTCAATTCCTGGTACCGGAAGAAAAACGAAAACAAAAACAAAAACAAAAAAACAGAAACAGAAGTAGAACTTTTAGTCTTAATAAATAAATACATATCTTTGTACCTTGGCAGATATGTATATGTATTGCATCTTTGATACAATATGTACGCATCTCGAACTCTGATCTTGGCAGACAGCACTAAAAACCATGGAAAGTATCTTGCTCAAAAAAAGGCAAGAAGCTGAGAGGACAAGAAGGGCAAAGACAAGTACCTAGCATTCACTAATCCTCCGAAAACCAGAACCATAGTAACTGCTGTAGAGCGGCATTTTGAAGTTACTACAGAGAACAACTGGAGCTCAGCAAGACAGACTAGAACATTGTTAAGATTCGGAAACCTGGTGTCAAAGTTTAATGAGAGAAAGAAAACACACAAGCGTCTGCCACGCCAGCTCCATACCAGGGGCAAGGGAAGTCTCCCCTTTGCAGGAGGAAGGAAAAGGCTCTTTCAGAGCGGATGCCAGCAATCCTAGCTACTGCGAAGTCTCACAGCCCTCACAGGTTTGGAGCCCACTTAGATGAGTGACGTGAAATCCGCACGGTCGTTATGCCTTGTGTCTAGAGGCAAGCCCCCAACCTCATGTAGTCCTCGGTGGGGAGTTCCGAAAGTGGCTGGATTAGTGTGTGGATGTAGATTAAGGATGTGAAAGTGGGATTCAGGATGTGCGTAACAGAAGCCCCACCCTGGGAATGGTAGCACCGATCAATAGGCTTACAGCCTGTATGGAAAATACAGGGACAGGAAGAAGGCAGGCTGCTGCTGTTTGTTGCCTTGTGCCTGCCCTGTCATGCCATGAACTGTTTCTCCTCTGTGATGCCCCTCTGCCTTGGAGCCAGCTGATTATGGACTGAAACCTCTACAAAGTGTGAACTGAAATAAACTTTTTCACCTCTAACTTTGGGTGTTGGGTACTTTGTCTCAGCACCAAGAAAAGTAACAGTGGTAGTCTTGAACTAGAAAAGGATCTTGCCACATTTCCAAGTGAACTATCAGGGTTCTGTGGCCAGAAGCCTTCCTGAGAAAGGGCTACTATCTGAGTTTGGATGATCTCGGGGTCAGAAGCCCCTGCACATTCCCAAGCACGGGACCCCACAGACATTCCAGTGCACTGCGGCCGGGGACAGCAGCCCAGCAGCCCAGCTCGGCCGAGCAGACTGACTCACCCAAGCCCACTGGGTGCCCTGCACCGTAGGAGACGGGCACTGTGATATGGAGCCATCTTCAAGAAACGAAAGATCCGTGTTCTCGGCCTGCGAGACATGGAACTAGCTAGCCACAGGGAGGCCCCTGCCTTGCCAGGACTGAAGCCTGGTGGCAGTGCGTACGTGGGACCCTGCCTGTATTACTACGTGCCTTTCTCTGACTGGGCGGGGAAACGCCAGGGTTCCCCCTGCTGCTGCCCCACAGGGGCCCGCTAAGGGCGCTGAGAGTCTCCGCGGCTTCAGCTGCTGTCTAGACTCCAGGCGCGTACAGAGGTGCCAAGCACAGCTCTGTGCAGCCCGGGCTGCCCTCCCGTGGGGGCAGTGCCACAGCAACAGCTGCGCAGAGCACCACAGTTCTGCCCCCACCCCACCAAGGCAGCTAGCAGCGCTCACCTCGCCGGCGCCGCTGTCAGGGCTGGGTGTGAGCACCGCCGCGCGGCGACTCAGGCCCCTCACTCCCTCTCTCGTTCAGCATCTGGGCCCTCACCACCACTGGTCAGAGGACAGGCGCTTCACGGCCCTCCCCGCTGCTGCTGCTGCCACCGCCAGCGTCACCTCGTGCCAGAGCTGGCACGGTAAGTACCTGCGGAAACCCCGCCCTCTGGGCAGGCCTCCACTCCCACTGCAGGGGCCGCACGGGTCGCCTGCATCCACGTCTGTGGACACCGCAGTTTCCTAAGCTGCTGGCGTCTGCACTCTTGCAAGTCCACAGAGAAAGCCCGTCTCTCCGACCCCAACGCTCACTAGTCACAGTGGAGGAAGCCATGGGGGACTACACTCCAGGGCCCAGCCGTGACGGTAAAACTGCAGAGCAGTGAACAGGTCTAAGACCCACCTTCAGAGAAGCTGCTCGCTAAGAAGGCCACTCCATGAAAGTAGCAGAGGTATCTGATCCACCAGACGCACAAATCTCAACATAGAAACGTAAGAAATTTGAGAAAACAAGATAATAGGAGGTCAGCAAAGAATATAACCCTTTAGCAACAGATTGCAAAGAAATGAACTGGACAGAATGCTTGATGAAGAATTAAAAGAATGCTTATAAATAGTTCAATAAAATCCAAGAGAACACAGATAAACAGTTAAGTGAAATCAGAAAGACACTCCAGAAATATGAATGAGAAACAGCAAAGAGCAACTTTGAAAGAGCAAACAGATCTTGGAAATGAAGAAGTTAATACAATAAAAAACACAATGGAAAGCCTCAACAATGGGCTGGATCAAGGGGAAGTGGTAATATCTGAATCTGGAAGATCTTCTAAAATACTTCATTTAACTAACAACAACACAAACGGAAGACAGCATTCCCGATCTTTGCGACACCCTTAAACAAGCCGCCAACCTATTCAATAAGACAATAGCAGAAAACTCCCCTAATCTTGTACAAAGTACCGATGTCCACATACAGCAGGCTTACAGAACCACAAATGGCACGACCAG